CAGGCAGCGGGCACAGACGCTCAGAGCCAAGGACCGGAGCCGCCTCCCCGCGGCCTCTTCCCTTTTGTCGCGCTGCCCGCTCCTGCCCGCCACTCTCGCCAACCTCCGAGCTCCCGTCGAGATGCTGCGCTGCGGCCTGGCCTGCGAGCGCTGCAGGTGGATCCTGCCCCTGCTCCTGCTCAGCGCCATCGCCTTCGATATCATCGCCCTGGCCGGCCGCGGCTGGCTGCAGTCGAGCGACCACATCCAGACGTCCTCGCTCTGGTGGCGATGCTTTCACGAGGGCGGCGGCAGCGGGTCCCGAGAAGATGGCTGCGAGAGCCTCATGGAATACGGTGAGTGACGCCGCCGCCTCCAGGAAGTTCTCCAGGGGCGGCAGGGCTGGTGCCTGCACCCTAGGGACGGCCTAGGAACGCTGGTCTCTCGCAACCGCTGGGTGTCAAAGGGACTGGACATGATCAAGGGAATAGGTGATTAAAAAAAAAAAGGTGTTTCACACCGAAGCTTTAAAGGTCCCAAACTAGGCTCAACATTGGAGAAATAGGTCCGAATTCAAGCTCTGTTTTCTGTAGGGTTTTTTTTTGGTTACTTCAGAAGACAGTTTCAACCATTGAATAGGTTTAGATCAGCACATTTTGTGAACAAGGGGCAGTTTCTTGGAGACCTACTGGTATTTCTTTCCACTCGCCTCCTCTGCTCTAGTTCTTATGATTAAAACCTAAAGATTAAACGATGGACCTTCCTTGACAACCGTTGAGTCCATAGAAAAGAGCAACTCTTCTTCCATTCAAAAGAACTTGTTCATTCACACTTTGAATAGCTATGACTTAGACTTTGCAGTGTTTTAGAAGTCAGGTTCACTTTTGCTCCCTTTTGGTTTTGGCCAAAACATGGCATTACTGTTTCGAAAATTTATTTATTGTAATTGGATTTGAAACCCCCAAAGCAAACACGTCTACATCAGTGAAAGGGGCAGAAATGACAAATCTAATATATCGCGGAGGAGTATTTATTCTCTCCCCCCCCCAACCTCCAACGACCTTCCCCCCACACCGCCATCCCTTGTGGGTAGACATGAAGAATTGAGGGAAAGAATCTGTTGTGATTATTGAAGTATTGTGGCGAAGGAGGGTTTAAGTATGAGGAAAGTCTGCAGTTAAAAGTCAGATTCCCCACAGAATGGGGTCTACCCCACTGCCTGCAGCAGTTTTAAACTGAGAAAAAAGTCACCTTGCCTGTGGCCATTCCCTGCTAGGACAGTGCTGTCTCCGAATGCCCAGGCTTCCTCCTGCTGCTGGGTGATTCCGTAGGTTTGCCTCAGATGCTTGTTGTTGTATCCTGTGGACTCTGGGAGTATTTGGAGGCTCCCACCAAGAAACAACTTTCCTCCACCCCAAAACGCATGGTCCTCCTTAGCTGGTAATAAAACGTAAGGACTGTGGAATCTCTCTGCTTTCTCTAAAAGTCTGTGTTTAAGGTACAAATATTATGTCCCAAGTGGTTTGAATTATTCCAAATCACTTGGGTGTGTGTGTGTGTGTGTGTTTTTAAAGATTTATTTGTGCATACAGAACTGGGGTACAGGCCAGAGGCTCAGGGGCAGCCAGAGGCTTCACCAGAGACAGAGTGGGGAGCAGAACAGGCAGATCTACGAAGTACACTGCTGAGGGGAGCAGCGGGCCGGTCAGGAGAGGTCTGTCAGCCATGTGGGTCACCTCCGGGGCGGGGATCCAGCTCACAATGAAGCGGCTGTGGCTAGCTCTGTGGCTAGCTGGCAGTGCTGCCTCTTAACGCATTCGCCACCAGGGAGGGCCTCTTAGGTTTTTAAAGGGAATTGATTTTTTTGGAAATAATGTATCTTTCAACTAGAACTTAACTGATCTGCTTAAACAGATGTGTTTTAAAACAGACTTTGACAATCATGCCTCAGTCCAAAGGCTTCACGCAGACCCAAGGAATATTTAAAAATCCAAAGGAGCCAGTCAGAGAGTGTGCCCCTGGCAGAAGGTGCTGGCAGAACAGGGATCAGAGCTGGACATGACCGGACCTGCCAGACTCGCTGTCACCCAGCCCTGAAACAGGACAATGCAGTTTTTATTTCTCTTGATTTGTAGGATGAACTCACCTTCTTGGGTGTGGTTTTTCCAACCTCAGACTGATACACAGTTCTTTGTATGGGAAAGGGTCCATGTGTTTTGTTTCTCTGTGTGTTTAATTTTTTAATGAGATAGAAATGTAAAGCATTAACATTTTTCATTGTGAAAAAAAAAAACCCCAAGGATTCTGTGTGTAAATGTTTCATTTTGATAGAAAAATTGGCTTTGGTAAAGTTCGGTTTTCCAAGTGAGTCTTTGAATATCTATGACTACCTTCATTGTGATTTTCATGAATGGCTGGTGGCCTTAACATCCCAATTATTCCTGTGACCTTTGCCAAAATAATTAAATGCCCATAATGTGTTAGACACAGCTTTTGTTGAGACTTAGCCTAGAATCACATCAGAATCCAGACTCCGCTGTCATGAGGGCCTGGTGGGAAGATGAAAACAGAGGCCTTCCCTGGCCCTTGCAGCCAAGGGGAGTGGAAATGTTTGTTTCACTCCCATCCTGTCTGTTGGCCATGAGTGTTGGCCAATTACCATGCCAGGTGTAGATATATTCCTACATTGTAGGAGATCAGCTAGGCATCTCTAGACTGGAGATTTGTAGATAAACTCAAGGAGGCCCTGCTGAACAGTGTACAAGAGGTGGTCTTTTGCCTAAAATACAGAGAGTAGTTTACCAGACTCCCATTTCTGTACAGACAATATCTTGAGTAACCAGCAGTGATGATGGCTCTCATTAAAATAATGTCTCCATATAGAGCACATAGTGAGTACTTTTTAAAAACGTCTTGATAAGTACTAGAAAGTAAAGATCATGATGTAACTATTAAGAAAGTGGACCTTTTAATCAGAAAATGCTTGACCATCTATTATCAGTTGATATTCTGAACATTAGTCTGTTCATTTTGGTATTAAAATGTGTCTATTCCTGGCAAGCATTGGCAATGATACTAATATTTGATAAAGCAAAAATAGTTCCTTCAAATTATGTAAAACAGAATATTCTTCACTGTTTGTTATTGATAGTTTTAAAAACTTATTTCAGATTACCATAGCATCTCATTTTTCTCATAAGTGAATCCAATTATATACTGAATATTTTCTTTTACATGGTCTTAACTAAAGAAATACCCAACACCAGATACATGTTTAATTAAAATTAAAAAAACTTAGTTTTTATGTCAAAACAGGAAAAGAAAACCTAGACTTACATATTGAAATGCTCATTCAAATCTTAGATGTACATAAAATGCAAAATTTAAATTTGAATGCAGGGTCTTACCTGTTATTTTTGCCCTGCTGGCTTCCTTCTTTTTCAGGTTGAACAATGAATAAATTAGGAGGATCTTTTAAACATCAGCCATCTAACCCCAGGCAAGCTCCAACTTGTCTGAGTGGAGAATAATGCAGATGGGTTTTTGCACTGAGAAGAAACATGGGGGGCAGTGTGGTTGAGTGGGGGAGCACTTGCTTTGGATCAGTCTCAGAAGTGGGGAGCCCCAGTTTTGCCCAAGACGCCCTTGGCAAAAAAGCCAAAGGGCGTCAAAGAAGCAGAACATATGTGACATATATCTAGGTTCTTTATAGTTCTTAATAATCCAGGAATTTAAAAAAATATGAAGTTAGTAGGTGGTCATTAGGTTAAATTCAACTTAAAAGACTTCATTTGGGATTGCGATTTCTCTTTGTGGTGACATGTTCACACATCCCTACATAACACAATAAAAAGTTATTCTCAGTTGACTTTTATAATATATATGTGTGTGTGTTTATATATGCACACACACATGCATACATATGCATATGTGTGTGTCTGTGTATATATATATAAAAAGTCCTGAATTCTAGAATTCTAGATGTAGCCCAACAGACTACACATTTGTTGCATTTAGCAGTCCCTACCCAAGAGCCTCTATCCTTTTTTGAGACTTGACCTGGTTTTGCACAGACTTATACATTATTAGAATTAAAAAGGAATAAGAAAACACAACATTGTAAACCAATCTCACTGCAATTAAGAATAAAAAACAGAAAAAAAGAGCACAGCTCTCCATACTTTCCCCCCACTCATCGAGACACGCATGACCTATAGAGCCAAGCTGCTTTCCTTTAATCAACAACTTAATTCAGGGCCTGAACACAGCTACCTATTTAAAAGGTTTACCCACGGGACTGTCACGAGCATCCCTGTAAATTCTACTTTCCATTTTTCTTTCACCTAACAAGCTTTCAAAGACTTGAGAGCACCTTCGAGTTATCTTGTCTGAATTCAGGGAACAATTTCTCCACCATCCTGTGTAGGCTGGTTTCACACTCCGACACCACAAAACCATAGCGGTATAGACTCTCAGCTCCCCTGAGCACAGTGGCCAGTAGTTATTGGCTAAGTGTCAGGGGCAAATGGAGTGCTGGTGAGGACGAGGAATCTCACACCAGGGTGGAATGTTCTCCCTGGGGCTGGGCCAGTGCTCCCTTCTGTCTCGCCTTTACTGCCTCCCAAAATGCCTGCAAAATCACTTCTTCCTATGTAGATTTTTGGATTCAGTTGTCCTCTGAGTTTTTGCTACTCAGAGTAGCAGAGACCGCCATCATCTGGGAGGTTGCTGGGCCTTGGGGGCCCAGACCCCTCTTCCTGCAATTCCCCAGCAGGGTTAATTTAAGGCTCGGAGCCCTCGCCCACATTGCTGTCTGGACAGCGGTCTGCTTGAATTTATCATCTCCCCCTGCTTATATTTATTTGTCCGTGGGATCCTGGTTATTTCTTAACTCTGACTTGACCCAGTTTTCATTCCTGCTGTGTATGAGGTACATCACCTTATAGAAACAATAAGAAGAAATCTAATGGTTAAATCCACTAGGTGAGGGCGTCAGTATATTGTTGATTGAGGAATCGTTGTTCTGGAAAGGAACCTTGTGCTGGGTGACAAGTTGATGTTCGCAGTGCACTGAGTGATGGCCACAGATTGTGTTCACCTGTGAAGTAAGGGGCATATGCAGTGATGCATTAAAAGTACTAACTTTGGGTTGGGGGGCAAGTGACAGTCTTAAAGTATTGCCAGCAATATTAAAAATACTAACAGTGTTCTCTTTGTCTTAACTTTTTTTCTCTCTTTACAAGCTTCAGTTTGTTACTGGTTTCTAGCTTGACATTCAAGGTATTGGTGGGGGAGGGGAGGATCCTTTTGTTATCACTTGACCTCCTGGGTCTTTGCCCATTGGTGTTTATCTTGTTATATTCTATTTTCATATTTCATCACAGCAAAAGCTACCATATTCTTCCTCATACAAAATCCTTAGAACATTTCAGCATTTTTGTTAGTGACCTGTGCACACGGAACTGGGGTACAGGCCAGTGGTGCAGGGGTGGTGAAAGGATTCACCAGAGACAGTGCGGGGAGCAGAACAAGCAGATCAATGAAGTACACTGCTGCGCCTGCTGGGTCACTCCTGGGGCGGGGATCGAACTCACACTGAAGCGGCTGTGGCTTGCTTGCAGTACTGTGTCCTAACCCATTGCGCCACCAGGGAGGGCCCTAAAAAGATCTTTAAAGATATCACTGAAAGTGTACTTATCAGGCTGTTGGTTTCTTTAATAACATGCCTTCTCCAGTGCACTTAGAAAATAAACTGAGGACATGATAGATTATGTCTATAAAACACCAATTTGATTGTCCTTTACAGACACAATACAAAACAAAAAATTTCTTCAGAGAAGCACAGTGTCTCTTCACGTGAAGCACTGTTTGCATTTGAGCATAAATTCAGAGGTAGACTATGGAACATTATAAAAATATAAATAGCTCCTGCAAGGGCAAATTAGTAGATCTTAGACTCATTCTGAGTAGCTGAGATCAGAGTTGCTTAGGTCCAGACTCATGTTAACTTTTCAGAGTGTATGTCATGGAGACCTCTCTGATGGAAAGTTCACATAATTTTTTGCTCTTTTTGGGCAGAATATTGGTCTGGGAGGAACCTGTTCAGCGCTGTCCAGCCCATCATTTTTAAAACAAAATAGTCATTGATGTGAGAAGTCACCTACTTGTCATTCATCAGCCAGGATCTTCACAAGGATGCCAAGATTTCCGTCTCAAATGATAGTGCAGTGATTCACAGTGGGTGTGTCCACGCTGCTGGAGCAGGTTTTACATGTTCTACTTCCAACACCACCTTTCTCAAGGCAAAGTGTTTCTTAATTATATTTTGATATTCTTTAGGCTCAGCATTTTAAATAAGGAAGACATGAAGTGGGTTGATTGAGAAGACGTTCTAAAATGCTCTGTGTTGGTGTTTACTACTTGGCTTTTGGTTAGGTGAATTAATGTACTATTTCCCTTATTTAATTCCTTTCAAGTACTTGCAACTAAGTGAAATTACACCTTAGCTATAATGTGGAGGGAGTAGTAATACCAGTGATCTATTTATATTAGTCTTTCTCCACTGAACAGGAAAAAAAAAATATTGCTATTACCCTTTATAACACCATCGTCCATGATTTATTTAGCTATACTTTAAAAACCTTCATCTGTGATTGTCAAAGTTTGGGTATTGAAATATGTTCCTGGTTAGGATGTTTTTATTGAAAACTTACGTTCTGCAATGCAACTTAGCTTCATTATGTTTGCATCTCTCTGCAATTCTATTCATGGCATAGTTTCAGCCTGTGAACTTAGTTTTAAAGGAAAAATCTGTTTCTGCTTGTTTGAATTTAATGATTATAGTTGACTAAACAATGACTGTTAATAGCTATAAAAAGTGGTAGAAAATGAGATTACTGCACAGTGGGTCACCATTGAGGGTTACATGATCCTTTCTGGTCATGTAGCATCTGCTTTTGGGAGAGTAATTAGCAATCTTAGTTCTTGGCAAACTTTAGTTTGATTGTAAGCAATATTGGAAATGTAGATTCCTGCCACTACTTCTAGAACAGCTCTGGAGGGTGGCACAGGAATCTGTATTTTTAATGAGACCTCTGATGACCCTGAGTGTAGTCTCTGAGCTACATTTTGAGCTAATCTGATTACAATTCTTTTCAAAGCACAGTCCCTCCTCTTATCAAAGCTTCCTTACTTGAAGGACAAGGAAAAAAAAACTGACTAAATATCCCATTTTGGGCTTCATTTCAATTTTTAAAATAAAACTTTACTATTTTACCTTGCATCTGAAATCTCTCATTGATCTGATAAGAAAAGCCAGAGGATTTGGGAAGTAATAAAGGCTGTGGTGCAAAGTGTAGTTGACTCACGTTCTGGCTCAGCCCCATCCTGACCAAGGCCTCTCAGGGGTAGTTTGTGGGAAAACCTGAGGCCTATAAAAGCGTGTCTTCTTCATAACTTATATGCCCTATTCATTCAGAAATCTGGAGAAAGATTTGGAGAGAGCATGAAAACTGGAGAAGGGAGTCAGGATCATAGTTTGGGGTTCTCTATCCAAATGAATATATGAACACAGAGGTGACTTAGGAATAATGATCTTTCATGATGGTGCCGGATCTTGTCAATTAGAGTCAATGCCAAATTGAGATACTGGAGAAAAGCCAGGCATCCATGAGGAACTTTCTGTACCAGGAGGGTGGGACAATGACTTCTCACACAAGAACTCTCATGCTCACAATAACCCCAAGTAAGGCATGTTCAGCCCTACGTGATAAGATGTTCATGCTGACAGTGGCTTGTAGGTGGCAGAGGCCACCCGCCGAGGTCCAGTTGGCTTCAAAGCCCTGGCTCTTTCTGTTCTGTCATGTCTTTGACTTTGAGCGGTCAAGTGACCTGGAATTGAGTGAGGGTAATTTGTCAAATTAGAAGTGAAAGCAGGGCAGAGGTCACATGTCACTCCTTTTCAAATGCAATAAAGAATAAGAGTGCATTAGCAGCCATTAGTGAGTGGATGGATAAGCGAAATGCAGAATGTCACACAGTAGAATACTTTTGACTGTAGAAAGGACCTAAGTGCTGATCGTGCTAACACATAGGTGAAGCTAGAAAACAGGTATGAAACATGTCCAGAGTAGGCAAATATGTAAAGACAGAAAGTAGGTAATTTGATAAGTGGACAGACGCTGAAGGAGGAGTCGGGGGATGGGGAGTGGCTGGTTGTAGTTACGGGGGTTTGGGGGACATAAAAAACTTGGAATGGTAAGTGGTGATGGTCTCACATTTTGGGAACATGGTAGAAACCTTTTGAAGTGTACACTCAGTCAATATTTTGGTATGTAAATGACATCTCAAACAGTCTTACTCTGGACTCAGGCTGGAAATCAAGGTTTGTTTAAACTCCTTACAGCTGTGTGATGATGGGCAAGTTATTCGAATTCTTTCAAAGCATGCTATACAATAACATCATCCCTGAAGAAGTGATAACATTAAAAAGTCATTGTGAGGGGTCAGCTTGCCTAGGCACATCACATTGTTAGCCTCATGCCGGCACGCAGCAGTTCATAGCGGTCATTTATTTCTTCCAGAGAGAAGGTGGTGTGCGAGAGATTGAAAAGCTAATGTGGTTTGAGCAGTGGAGACTTTTGACTGGAATCATTAACCTGCACCCCATTTTCTCCAAGTCCGGAGTCAAAGGTCATAGGACTTATGTAGAACTTTTAAAATTATTTATATAATTAAATTAATCTTCTTACATCATTGTTAACTCAATTCCCACCTCGTCCTGATTGTTTCAGGGTGCTTCCAATTTCAATAATTAATATCAATCAATATCAACCAATATCAATAATTGATATTGCTTCCAATATCAATAATCACATGCTCTTGTACAATAAATTCTGAATACTTCAGAAGTGGAAGGGAGGGGTATTGGTGTCCTGCGCTTGAAATAAGGAGCTGCTTAAGTGTTGTTGACAGGAAAACTGGTCTTCCACCAAATATAATCTGAAAGAAGGGGAAAAGACAAATATTGACACATTGATAGTGATTTTTCACTTTGGCACGTCTGTCTCATTAACCCCTGTTCTTTTGCCTGCAGCGTGGGGAAGGGCGGCCGCTGCCATGCTGTTCTGCGGCTTCATCATCCTGGTCATCTGTTTCATCCTCTCCTTCTTTGCCCTCTGCGGACCCCAGATGCTGGTCTTCTTGAGAGTGATTGGGGGTCTCCTGGCCCTGGCTGGTAAGGCTGTGTCAGCGGTTCCTCATCCACACGTACAGTGCACACTGGTATCGCAGTATCCTCAGGAAGATCCCTGACAATAACACCTCCTGATCTGTTCTGAGAAAGTGCATCACCTTGAGTGGAAGTAGCAGAGAGGTGCCCTTTAAGACGTCACAGATAGTTTCCTCTGCTCCCCATCCCAGTGAGCTATATAAATGCTGGGCGGGGTCTTAGGTGAACCCACATTTAGTCACCTGACACTGATAATGTTCAGTCAGTGACACCCCTACCCTGAGGGCTGAGAGCTGTGTCAGCCCTAAAGGACAGTGACCCCATAGTGGTCCCAGGGCAGGCCTGCATGTTAAGAGGATTAAAAAATCCCGGAGCCTTTTCACATGTTGAAGGAGGTTTGAGATCTTAAGCTGCGGTGGATTTTCCATAGTGTGTGGGCACTCTGGGAGGGTCAGGTCTGTAATTGGCTCAGGGCATAGAGTCAGTGCCAGGGGGACAGGAAACTGAGTCCTTTAGAAAACTGGTTCCAGTAAGCTTGAACAGATAAACAGCTTACTGGTCCTGCTTAATCCTCTCTGCTCATTTCACAGCCTCATACTCATCTCCTTTACACAAGTATACTGAATGGGAACTTTTTTATAGAAGAATCAAAGGTCTAAAAATCTCAATGCATTTTTAATGGTGATTATGTTTAATGAGATCAACTTTGTTTTTTTTTGTTTTTTTTTTAAGATTTGTTTATTTATACACACAGAACTGGGCTATAAGCCAGAGGTACAGGGGTGAGAGGACTCACCAGAGACAAGCTGGGGAGCAGAACAGGCAGATTGACTGAAATACTCTGCTGAGGGGAGCAGCGGGCGAGACAGGAGAGGTCTGCCACGCCATGTGGATCACCTCTGGGCCCAGGGATGACTCACATTGAAGCAGCTGTGGCCAGCTTGCAGTGCTGCGTCCTAACCCTTTGCACCACCAGGGAGAGCCCGACCTTGATTCTTAAAATATATTTCACAGCAGCAATGATTGTTAATTATAATTGCAAATACTGTTGGGTTAAAATAGAAAAATTAGGCCCTCCCTGGTGGCGCAGCGGGTTACAGCACAGCACTAAGAAGCTAAAGCTACTTCTGCATGAGTTCGATTCCCGCCTGCCCCGGAGGAGACCACATGGCATGGCAGACCTCTCCTGACCCACCCGCTGCTCCCCTCAGCAATGTACTTCATCAGTCTGCCAGTTCTGTTCCCCACTCTGTCTCTGGTGAAGTCTCTCGCCACCTCTGGCCTGTACCCCAGTTCTGTATGCACAAATAAATAAATCTTAAAAAAAAAAAAATAGAAAAATTAAATATTGATACAATTTAGATTTGGTAGGAATTGATCTAAACTATAAGAAATTCATGCATGATGAAACAAAACAATATTTGACATTTATTCCTGGGCAAATTATAGAACAATGTAGACGAGGACAACTTTTGTGTTTTACACAGGAATTTGGTAAATGACAAGCTTAACTAGTAATAGTTTGCCATTCAAAATATGTGAGCAACAGAGAAATATTTAAGATCTCAACAAGATCCCCCTTTATAATTATCAGAGAAGAGTAATATTGTAGTTGGATTGAGAAACAGAACAAATCAAGATGTGGAAACATCTACAACTTTTCTAGCAAATGAAAAAAAGGAAAGAGAAAAAAAACGACTTTTGGGTACATCTGTGAAGCTCGTAGAAAAATTAAGATGAAAGAAAAATATGGTAGTGACGATTGTAGTCTCTACTACATTCCTGGGGACATAGCCAGCTGGTTTCTCTTTGCAGAAAGTAATGCTTTAATGTAAAAAGAAATAAAATTTGTTCATACCCTTGGACAAGGCAATGTACATATGAAATATTAAATTTTAGAAAATGCAGAACACAGCATAGCATGCACACACTCACTATAGCTTTAGAATTAGGCATCATCATTGAAAAGGAATAGAATAGATAACGTCCTGCTTTCAAAGTTGCCTAAAATGTTGATGCAACGATTGGTAATAATGGTTATAGGCCTCATACTAAAGAGTAGAAAAGTTTGCTTGACTTGTGTTTTCCCTCTTACACTTTCCAGAAGCACTGTGACCTTCTTCCTTTTATCCCCTACCCCCATGCTCTTCTCCATCCCCGCCATTCTCCATTTCTCTTTAGCCTTCAGATTCCTCTGTAGAGTTTTCTGGTGATACCCCACATGAGCCATTCACAACACTGGTTTGTTGTTCATTTAGTCATTTATTGAATGGATATTCCAAATGGGTACTATTGATTATCACCGTTGAGTTATATGTGAATATCTGCATGACTATATGTGTATATCTATATTACTTCTGCAAACACTAACATATTACCTATGTATTTGGCAGAGGAAATACAAAGCTGAAAAGACAGCCTCTGCTGTTCTTTCTATTGTACAGATTCTCACTTTTTACTTTTGTATAGGTAATGCTTACACATGTGATTCTCTAGTTGTTTCTGTCTGTCTGTCCTATATGTAGTATTCCACTCAGTATAATTATACTCACAACAGATAATAACCTTTATGGGCTTCTGATTAACTGGAGTTCCCCCCAGTCCCTTTCATTGGTATTGGTTAGTTGGCTTTCACACTTAATTGAAAGCAAAAACTCTGTGGAAGAAGATGTTAATCTGCTGCTACCTTGCCTTAGAGGATGTTAATGCTGCTACCTTGCCTTAATGCACTGGGTTTTTCTTCCCTTTAGCTGTGTTCCAGATCATCTCACTGGTGATTTACCCAGTGAAGTATACACAGACCTTCAACCTTCACGCCAATCCTGCTGTTACCTACATCTATAACTGGGCCTATGGCTTTGGGTGGGCGGCCACGATTATCCTGATCGGCTGTGCCTTCTTCTTCTGCTGCCTTCCCAACTACGAAGATGACCTCCTTGGCAATGCTAAGCCCAGATACTTCTACACGTCTGCCTAAGTTCAGGAGTGAGCAAAAGATAGCTCTGCTGCTGCGATGGATTCCAGAGGAAGAAACTATTTCCTATAACACTTTGTCTCTATGTTGGGGGCAATGTTCTTTTCAATAAACTAGTCAGAATGCTAAAATAATTGTAGAAAAAAATTTCTTCAGTGGCATGATTGTTTCATAGTCACCTCTTATATATATTTTGTAGTTAAAATAGTTAAGAGTTCTTTTAGCTAGTTACCTAGGACATGCAGTATTTCCTTATATGTATTCATGCCATTTATACTGCATTTGTCAGAGAATAGGAATACGAAACTTAAACACTTTATAAGCTAAAAATGAGAAATTTCAAAGAATGAAGTAATCTGATCACATTTATGTCTTTCCCAGTTGGTATGGGCTGGGTCTAATAAGGGCTAAATAAAAGGAGATGCAGACAGTAACCAAATATTTTAAGAGAAATGAAAAAGATAATTTTTTTCAAGCCTTCTGCTGTTTAAGAAAAGTAAAATAGTTTCCTAAGTGTATATCATTTATGAGAACTTCTAATTAATATCTTGACTATTTTTTAGCCTCACATGAACTTGATAGGTCATCTAGGAAAGTCTATGGCAGTAGTAAGGACTCCTTTTGTAGTAAAATGTTTAGAATATTCTCTTTTAAATGGTTTATAGGATTGGGAGTGGGAAAATGCTATATTAATAAATCTGTACTGTTTTATGTCCATATGATCAGGCCAGTGTAGATTGGATTAAAATGTGTACTAGCTATAATGTAGCCTGGCTTGATAGATATGATTTTGTTGGGCAGCAACGGTAACTTGCAAACAGACTCAACAGAAAAGTGGCTTAAATTTGCTAATTCAGGCTTACCTGGGCTCTGATCATAGACACAGCTTCTGATATATTGCAACTTTAAGCAAAAGCTTTGTGTTTAAAACCTGGTCTTCCTTAGTCAACAGATTTAAAATATTTGATGTAAAACATGCAATAGGAGATTTCAGGGATGTGAAATTTCTCTGAATGGTAAATATATATCACATGAATTATTATTTTTTTACCATTTGTACTTTCATAATGAAAACCAATTCATTTTATATCTCAAATTATTATTTTGTAAGTTGAAGAATAAGCAACTGTTTTCATTATGGAATTTTCCCAATAAACCAGGTATTCTAATCTTGTTACTAGTTTGTAGTTTTTTTGTTTGTTTGTCTGGTTTTAGTTTTTCAAATCTGGGGAAGGGATTTTTTTTAAAAAATGCTTTGAGTGTGGGAGTAAAATTTTGCATAAAAGGAAAGATTGCCCTTTCTTCCATTGTAAAGATCTTGATCATCTTAGGTGTCTAACAATTTTAAAATGAAATGCAATGGATGATAGAGTGGTGTCCTCCCTGAGCTTCTTCCTCAATGAACAATACCCCCACAACCATCCACCCCATGTTGCCACCCCAGTGATGGACGAGAGACTTCTGGTGGGTCCACATGCCAGGGACTCCTGTGCTTTAGCTGGAGTTTCAGCCACTCTCATCCTTGGTGTACAACGTCCTCCTGGTGAAAAGATTTTTTCATTCAGGAAGTGGGGCAGAAAATAGTCTTTTCTTTCCCTCCTCCTTCCCTGTATTTGATAGTTTGTTTCTGCTCTTGGTCATGGGTAAATTTTCTAGGGTTCCAGCGAGTATAAAGGAAGACAGCAGAGCAGCATAGTCGGAGAGCAGAGATACAGCTCGGTGTTTCTGTTGATCCTTGGTCCTTGGTGGGAAAGTTTCTTCCATGCATCTCAAAATAGGGTGAGATGACTATTTCTCACCCTTAATGCAGCCAGGGTCATTATTTGTACCCAAATTAGAAAAAGAAATTTATGACAGGTAGAGGATTTGAAGCGGTAATTAGTAATGTTAAAAACATCATCTGAAGTAATCATATAAGTAATTCAACAAGAGAATCGATTTCAAGAAAGTAAGAAACTGGATCTAACATATCTAGAGATTCTCTCCTTATACATGAAAATAATTCTCAGACACAAGTTTCTCTCAAACATCTATGCTCTTGACTTTGGATTCTATCAACTTATCAACTTCTTCCCCTCCTTAATAAGTAGCACTTGATACCTGAATGATGTACATGTAGGAAGAATACGACATCCAGGGATCCATGAGCTAATATACCAGAGGCAGTTCAATCTGAGGCATTTGTGATGAAGTCACTGAGCATCATTACTATGGTTAAGATGTTTCACTTCTTCCAGTGTAGATTCCCCTTGTGGATGCACACTCACCAGACACCTTTATGTCATAACCACGGCAGGAGAATTCCAAGAGCTCCATAGTGCAAAGAAAAATTTGGCTGAGGAGCTGTCTGAAGACTAACGACCATTGCCCGAGCTTTCCCACAGTAAAGCTTACGTGGTTTTTGACTCTGTAATTATATTGAATCCACACCCTTTAAATAAGCAGTTGTACTTTCCCAAACAATTATCTCACGCTCAGACTATAAGTAGTCAGATATGCTAAGTGCCATGTGCTGCTGAATGTAACAAAGAAGTAATATGTCAAGCTCTTTGGGTTGCCACATAAGCTAACTATGGAGTGTAATTACTTCTAGCATCAAAACCCTTTTCTGCAGGGTGACAATACAAGTCCATAGGCTTTCCTTTTTCAAGGAAATGAAAACAGTGGAACAATAGCATCATCATAACTTAATTAGGTTGATTGTTGCTATCAACTCCCACTAAAAGGCAGTCCTATTAATTAATACAATAAGCAGAAATGCTGAATTGACTTGTTTTGCTTTTCTAGGCATACCTGAAAAGGCACATTTAAGTTTCATCCCAAGCCTGGCTGTTGCTACTGTGCAGAGTTCAGCAATTCACAATGTACTGGCCTCATGGTCTCACCTGTACATTCATTGCAAATGACCCCTTTTCCTTCACAATTCTCTGATCAAGTATGTTTGTATATGTATCTGTTCGTCTATGCCAAATATTCTTGGGAAAGGAAAAGATTGTCAATAATGTTATTCTTTTGTATCTTTACTAAATTGATTTCCATAACTAGAGACAATGATTACAATTTTAATATTATGCTGGATTTATTTTTTCTTTAATTGAAAACAAAAATTCAATCCTTTAATTGGAAGAACCACTAATAGGATATGCTAACAATGCTAAGCACAAGCATCCCTAAATCTTAGAGGAAAAACTCTGTATTTCAGGGAGCTTCTGACTCAAAATGGTGGAATGGATTCTACTGAATAATCACTTCTGACCAATATAGAAAAAATTGTAGAATAGCAAATGAGTACCAGAGGGAATACACTCATAATGCAAGAATAAGCTATTACAGAGATTTTGTCAAATTTCTGGAAGATGAAAAATGAGTGACATTGTCAAGAGGGCCACCCAAAATAAACTCAAGTTGACTGTCAGGGAAGTAACAGCTGTGCTGCTTGATAAGTGCCAAAGAGATGCTAAATGTGGAGCTGGCAGGAAACAGAGCAGCTCAGGAAGGGAGGAGGGTGTCAATCAGGGGGATTCCTTGGAAGTTTGCACTATCAGGAGCTTGCCAGCTGGCCAAACCTCCCCTTTCTCCACCTGAAATTTATAGAGTGGAACAACCACCTAAAGGACTGACCAACAGAAAAAACCCAAAGCTGATGATCATACTAAATAGCATGCTTTTCTCGATGCCTCCTTTTTTTAACGGACACAAACCTCACCTAGACCCTCTGGTGCAGATTTAATTATTTCTAATAATTAAAGAAGCAGAAGCAATAGGAATGTCAAGTAACTTTCTCCAGGGCCAGGCAGGTAGTAATAATAACAGTAGTAACAGAAACAAGATTCAGGGTGGGCTGTTTTTTGGTGCAGGAGGCAGAGAGTAGGGGTTGGTCCTAGGTGATTATCCTGGCTTCCCTTTCCAGTGTGCTGGTGGGGGTCCCTCAGCCCCCTCATGTCTGACTCCTCCAGGAGAGCTCTGACTTACTCGTGTGTTTGGGGACTAATGTATGAGGGAATGAAAAAGAAAAGGAGCAGTTAGATAGATGTGTAAAGAGGGAAGACTAGTTGGGGGTGGTTCTTTAGGGAAAGTTGGCAAGAGAGGAGGTAGCTGAAGGAAATGAATTGGAGAGCAAAAAGGGGACTAAGAACATCTACTTCTAGGGTGTAACTATTTTCACAGAGTCTGTTCTGAAAGGAGTTTGACACGGGACCATCTTCTTTTGGAACTCTTCTCGGTGATGGGGCCCCGTGAGCCATTACTTCATAAGCAACCCAGGTACAAGTTATGTCCAGATCATTCCAGAGGTGTGGTTGAAATGCGAGAACCCAGACAGTCGCTTATGGGAAGGCACTAGTAATTAAAACCTCAGTTAAGAATTTCAGAAGTACTTATTTTTAGCGTCTCTAAAATGTACTTTTATTTTCACAGATTGCTGGTTCTAAATGAAATGCAATTTGGTTTAGACATTAGAATCAACCACACACTATGTGGAATGCCGAGTCGTAATTATTATTATAATTAATATTATAAGATATTTTCAAATACATTACATAACCATGGTGAATGTGTAACATCCTCATGGATAGAACAGAGAGTACAGATATAGCTACTCCTGTCTCATCTGTTTGGCTTTTTTTTGTAACAAAAAGAATCTTCCCGATCAGCGATAAAAATGCATGGAAGAAGGCCCCTTTCCATTTTTGTTTTCTCACCTCACTTTGTGTCTAATTTTTTTCACCCATGTGCTCTAAGTAGAGGAAAGTAAATGCCTCCTTCCCATGTTTTATTCTAAATTTTTATGCAAGCCAAACTTGCATAAATTTTTATATAGAGCCAAACTTGTTTTCATATAAAAGAGCTTTAAGTTACAAGTTAATTATTTTGCCCTCCAACTCCACCTCACAAATCTCCTAATAAAATAAAGCACATAGGAGTGAAGTTGGTTACATTCAGGGAAGACCTTGTCTCCTGAGAAGCAACTGTCTAAATTTCTTCCAAAACCTTGACTTTAGGTAAAGATATAAGTAATCATTTTTTAAAATTTAATATATTTATGCATACAGAACTGGGATACAGGCCAGAGGTGCAGGGATGGTGAGAGGATTCACCAGAGACAGAATGGGGAGCAGAACAGGCAGATGAATGA